GCAGGGTAGACTTCTACCACTTGCCCACTTGCCTCACCACTTGACCACTTGCCTCTGCTTAAATGTGGGCAACTCCAAAAGGCCACTACTGGGACCTTCCGGAAGGCCGTAGACTTGGCCTTTCGTGACTGTAGCAGCTACGATTCTGACCCTTCTGGACTGTAGCAGCTACGACCTTGACCTTTCAAGAGAACTACAGCTACGATGTCTAGACCTGATTAAGACTCCTATCCGACAGGTCTACAGATCGAACCCATGCTACCTATGGACCCTACGACAACCTATCAGCTATTACAAATACACAGGTCGCGGGTTCAATTCTACAGGTCAACACAGGTACTGTACACAGGTAAGGTTGGGGTCTAGGGATCGAACCCTGGGATCTGCAGCAGCTACTGCTAACAAGTGAATACTGTTTCATTCCCATATAAAGATATGTATATATATCGTCAAACAGAGTTGCTCGATAAACCGTAGCCACAGAGGGAGAAGAGGACAACAAACGAGGGGCTCTGATAAACTCATTCATCAGAGAGAGTGTCACCGACTCATCTGGAGGCTGATATAAACTGTAGGCAGAGAGGGAGAAGAGGACAACAAACAAGGGGCTGATGCATATCTGGTGCTCGTTTGACACTCCTCGGGGCGTCCTCGGGCCCCGAGGACGATTCCTCGGGGTCGCCCGAGGAAATTGTTGCCTTCGTTCCACTCATCCTCGGAGTCGACCCCCGAGGACGATTCCTCGGGGCTCCTGCGCCCCCGATTTATATATGCACAAGCGGACGCGGGGGTGGGGCTGACGGTGGTCCACCGAGTTGTGTCTGTGCGGATGGCGCTGGTCCACCTTTGTTGGCCGTCGCGAATTCGAATGAGGGCGGGAAACGAAAAAGAAACAAAACCGGGGCCCTTGGAAATGGCGTGCAGCGGTCCTGTTCAAAATTTGAAATTTGAAATCAGGCTTTGCGATCGGCGGCGCGTGGAGGACGTACGTTTCACGCCTGGTTGCGTCTGCGGCTGGCGTTCGTGGCGTTCACATAAGTGACGATTGTCCCCTGCGGTTGTCGTCGATGAGCACGGTCGTGTACGCGTTGGCGGCAAGGGGAGACGGCATCGATACGTGAGCGTTGGGAAAGGCAGACGACCATCGTCAGTGCGTGGCTCCGAAGATATTGCACAGCCACCGACGTTGTGATCTTCCGCGTGGCGCTGTTTGTGGAGTCCAGTGGTTTGATTGACGTAATGTCATCGGAAGCGGCGTCTGGGATGGACGTTGACCGCAGGGCAGGGCGCGGCGGTTTGATGACGGCGGAGAGGACGGCTTTTGTTGTGGTGGTTAATGTCGTCCTCTTCCGCTGCAGATGGCGAGCAATAAAGCGAACTTCAAGGCGACTGTTCGTGCACGGCGCAAGCTGTTGGCGCTTCCGACGACTGGGCAGTGCTTGGATGTGGCTGCCATTTCCGGCGCGGTGCTGGTGGTCTGCTACGCGATGGGGTGCGGGGGGTTTCCAAGGGCGACTCCGCGGTGGTGGGTGAAGCAGCGAACGGGCGGCACGTGGGAGGATTTGCGGCAATGTGATGACGCAACGGATGATTACTTCAAGGAGAAGCTTCGAATGTCGCCTCGTGTTTTCCGCGAGATCGCGGAGACTCTTTCCCCGCTCCTTCAACGCAGTGTGACATTCTACAGGGTGCCTTTGCAGCCAGACCACATAATTGCCTATGCATTGTACAGGTGGGCCACTGGGAGACGTATGACAGTGGGACGTGTAGCTTCTGCATCGGGAGGGCTTCCGACATCACGACCGTGCGTGACGTAACGGCGGCGTTGCTGACTGCTTACCCCGACAAGATATCATGGCCCACAGGTTTGCAAAAGGCGGTCGTGTTGCGCGCCTTCGCTGACAAGGGGTTTCCAATCTGCCATGGGTGCATCGACTGTACACGTATCTACATCGACAAACCCGCGAACGCCAACGGGGAGGACTACTGCGACAGGAGACGTCAATTCTCTGTGCAGGCGCAAGTGGTGGTCGAGCTTGCGTGTGCTGGACGTCTTCGTCGGTTATCCGGGGAGTGTGCATGACATGAGGATGCTGAACCTGTCGAGTTTGTGGGTGCGCGCAGAGTCAGGACAACTTTTCACTGGGCCGCATGTGATGCTGCCTTTCGGTGTGCGGACTAATGGCTACTTGCTCGGCGACAACGGTTATCCACAGTCGGAATGGATATTCGTCCCTTACGGCGGTCTCACGCAACACCCGACGGAGGCTCGCTTCGACAACAAACAGAAGACAAGCCAGGGGAGCAATGGAGAGGGCGTTTGGCAGACTGAAGGGGATGTGGAGGTTGTTCCTCTGCACCCACAAGTGCAACATGGACAGCTTGCCGCAACAATTCGTCGCCGTCCGGATCCTCCACAACATACTCATCGACGCCGGCGTCCCGTTTGACGACAATCTGCTGTGGGAGGTGGGTCCAGACGGCGTGCGACATAGAGTGGATTTGGGGATGCATCAGCCATTGAGGCCAGTGTGCATGGAGTCTTCGACGGGGGATGCGCTGATATTGAGGGATGCGTTGGCGGAGCGGATGATTGCGTAGTGAGGTTGGCCGTGTTCGCAGTTGGAGACCCCGCCATGAATGGAACGAGTCTGAGGGACGAAGCTGTGAGAAGCGGGGGAGCACGGAGGAGATCCGGTGGCGGGAGGAAGGGGAGGTCGCCGTCCCACAGCAAGTGGCGGTCGACGATGGCAGTCCGGCCGTGGTAGTGTAGTTCGAGCGAGATGTGGCCGGCGTGTCTCGCGTGGTCGGTGTGGTTAGTTGTCCAGTGTTGAGTGGCGACGACTGGATTATGTACGTTGTCGCTTGGTTTTTAGTTTTTTTTTTTTTTTTTTTTTTTTTTTTTTTTTTTTTTTTTTTTGTTGTTTTTTTTGCCTTGTCCATGGACAGGGAGTACGGGCAGGTTAGCGTTATTGTTCGCTGAAGTAGTGTAGTTGGTGGTTGCGGATATTGCCGTTAGGCAGTTGCGCGTGGCGGGGTTGCACAAGCCATGCGTGCAACCTGCAGTA